ATTGCCAGGCGTTCGACATTTTGCAGAGTTATTTAGTTACTTCAGAATATTTCAAGTGACGACATGTATCTTTGTGTGTCCGCAACAATGTTCGACGGACATGGAACTTATTTTGTTGAAATTCAAAGCGACGTGTTCGCCGATTGATCTGCTCGGGAAAGATACCGTCTTTGTCTCTTTCCAAGTTCGATGGAGCTAATAAAAAATGTCGAAAATTCGAACATCACAGAAAAAATAGCAACAAATTTTATTTTTTAAATTTAGTAGATTTTAGGTGCGAAAAGAACATATTTTTTCCCACGGCGTAGCGACGCTTCCAAACCAAAATCATTGTCACTTAATAATGTTCAATTTGAAGATATAATTGTTTCAGAAAAATGAACCCCTATAATTGGTAGATCTGCTTCAACTACCGTCATCTCGACTCTTTGTTCTACGTTTTATGCAAGGGCCGTCACGTGTTAGTGTTTAGAGTAGTAATTTTTCTGTGTGTCGGTTTATGACACGTGCCTATTTTAATCTAAACAATAAAGTTGTATGTGAAAGCTAACCCTAAATTACTGGAACTTCGGGAATAGCCTCATAACATTCTAGACACCCGGACAATCTAAATAAATATGTTATAAGCATTACAAGGGACTTGTCATAAAACGCGGGCAAGATATAAAGAATTAACTTTGGCGTACTTTCGTACATTTGTCTTACTTTGCAAAAAAGTCGGAGTGGTTTCCTTAAATGTAGCATACGTTTTCACCCTAAGTTTAGTTATTTATAAAGCTTGAGTGAAGTTGTACTCCGCTATAGAGAATTGTTCCGAGCCTATAACCCTTTTATAAAATAGTCAGTTTAATGAGCGACCGCATATATGGGGCAATATTAATAAAACATCCAGAAATATATTCCCATAGTTTCTCTATATGTCAATCTTTATGGCAGCACATTTTTATTCGATCACAGTAAGGTTTATATCTGACATAAAATATATTTTACGAGTTTTCTATATAACTAAGAAAATCTCATCAGTTTTTGAATATTATAGCGAGTTACCGGTTTCGAACGCATCAGTTTTAAAGCTATCACACCAATAAGGATATGTTTATTTTGTGTTACCGTTTCGAATAATTCGGATCGATGCGCGAGAGTAATTTATAGTTGCATGTCAGTTCTAAATTAATTTCATATATTAAGCTTAATACTAAATATAAATAAACCCAATTTCGTCGACTATCGATTATTCCATTACATTTATTTGTTTTTGCCGATTAAAGATATTCGTGAGGTTGCGTCTTATCTTAAAATGTAATAAATTTGTAAATTAATAATCCGTGTTTTATTGCTACGTGCATTTTTTCATCTAGGCTTTATACGCCGGATTTTATTTCCTAGCTATCCTTTTATTATTTAAGCGACTCGAGCAAGTTCATAAAAGCGTCCTCTGATAGTTTAACCCCGATATCTATATGATCGATGGTTTTGTGAAAAATGATACACGATTTTTCTAATATATAATAGGCATCGTTCAAGTTAAGAGCTAAGATTTCTACAATACACAAACATAACTTCCACATGTTAATTGTTTGTTTTGAGAAGCAAACTTACTGTTCAGACTAGCTTATACAAATATTCGCGTAATGCGAACTAGTGTACAAATGATAAAGAGACCGTGAAAATAGCGACCTCAAATTGCAGAACAAACATTAGTTGCTGCACTTGTTCGAGACAAATAAACTAAATTTTACTCATTAAGGTGTCACGGAGCGTACTCCTCAAAAGCTGGATTTTTTTCAAAAATAATTTTAAAGAGCTTTGTTATACGTTGCTTAGTGAAAACGGACGCACTTTACACTGTACTGTTAAACACAGGGGTATATTTCACAGCAGCAGACGAACTGCTCACAATTATTTGTTTTTTGTTACGACTGAATAAATCATAAGTTCTGCGAAGTAACAAAACTTAGCCGCTTATAAAGTTTGATTTTGTCCCAAACTTATAGCGATAAATAACTAATACCGAGTAATTACGATTGATCGGGTGAGAGAAGTTGTTAACTACATATTTTAAAAATAACGCTTCAACAAAAGAGAAGTGTGGATTATCCTTAAAACACAAGCGATTAAGACGAGACGATTCGAAAACAAGCTTAGCCTTTTTCTCGGTTTTAATCCAAATTAGGCTCAGAAATAAAATACTAACTAAAGTAGGGTCGATTCGACTTTCGGACGGTTTCTAGCAAGTTCGACGGTTTTTATCGCGGAGAGATTTTAAAATCGAAGAGATAAAACATAACTTTTTGAAATGTCCTTTCTAATTATTCGTATGCGCGTTTGCGAGGACCGTTAAAAATGTAAGCAGACTTTTTAATTATTACAGACGACGATACCACGTGTTATCTCTTTTTTTGATAACTTATTACAAAATGCCGCATGCACGTTAAATTAAAAAATAATTCTGACCCTGTCCTTTGGGCGATTATATCTAATGGAGACAAATTTACATTTGTATATTTCACGAGGTTTTTATTCCAGTCATAACTCAATTACGTGGAAACCTGTAAGGATAAGTTTACTTGTTTGAAACTTATTTACATTAAGTAAATTTCTTCGCAAAAAATTAGCTTAATTAATCCCCAAGAAAATAACTTTTTACAAGCTTTCGAACGGAACTACCTATCTAAGCGGGGAACTTAACCATGGTGGAATTTGCGTGGAACTTTCTTTTCTTTTTTTTTAATAAATGAAAATTTCGTGTTAGCATCTTCGAGAGTATATACATGGAAATTACTTGTTTATTCACGTTGTTTGCAGTAAGCTTGCTATGTGGCAGCCTAATTTAATGTAAATATTCATGCAAATCCACACTTGTTTTATGAACTTAGAGGACTGCCTTCATATTCATGTTAAACTTTTAATAATATAATATGACAAAATTATCGTATCCATTTATATTCCTTACAAGATATTACAGTGGAGGAACGCTGTAAAACTGGCGAGCTCTGTTTGTCGGGATAATGCTTATTTTTTTATTTATACACTGTTTTCATTTTTTCTACTTCCTAGTTTATTTCCCTTTTTTACAGTTTTATACCGTGAGTCCCATCTCTAGTTATAAAAGATTCAGCGTTCATTGCGAAATTTAAAACTATAAAATTCAAGCAAGATTAAATTTTAAGATTTAGAAAAAGTCGGACTACACAAAAGTAACAATTCAAATTAAACAAAGCAAATAATTGAAACATAAATAACAGCTTTCGGCATTTTTTCGTTTGAGTTAATTAACGCTTCGATGAATTTTTGAATGAATTCAGAAAAGACGCTTTCAAGTTTTTAATTATTAAAGTACTTCCTAGGTGTTAGTTTAATGTAAATAAGTTAAACGGAGTCGGACAGTTGTGAAAGAGGGCACGGGAAAATACCTTCACCTTTTCTTTATGACTCTAAAGGCAATAAATTTAACGTAATCTTTGGTGAATTGTTTCGCGACTCATTCACTGCTATAGCCGAAACGTATTCAAGTTTTCAAAGATGTAAAGACAAATTAAGTTCGTAATGCCCGTTTTGTTCCATGCAAATGTGATTTACCTTTGTTCTTCTGGCGCTCGTGCCAAAATATTGCGTAATAATATTAGCGAATGTAGGTGCAGCTTTTTGTTTAGGTATTTGAGCTTTAAAAAAATGAATGCAATTACTTTGGTCATATATATTCCTGGGAGGTATGTGTAAAAAGTGGACGTTCCAGACACTAATATAAAATCGTCGAATTTTATACCGCTGCCGGCGCTTCAACCTCAACAAGCGTTTAATTATTTAGCTCATTGTAATTAGCATTTTTGCTCATTGCAGTTTCAGCGAAACAAACGGCGTCAAACGAATTAAATCACAGTCTACACCGTAATAATAAAAACAGTATTCGTGCCTTCTCTTTAACATTCAGCTCTTCATCACATTTTCAAGTTTTTCATTTAACTAACCTACCACAAAGTTTTAAACGATCTTTAATGATTTTATCACCTAATAATTATATCGTAATATCGGCGTAAAAATTTCCCAAGACTTGCCGTACATCGTCAATTACACTTCAAAGGCTTTAAAGCTTTGCCGGAGAGGAGTTAAGCTGAAGGTGTTTACAATTGTGTAAAATTCGTAGCCTGAAGTTTACTCAAAGATTGTCGGTGTTTTCGCGTCGGTTCATTCTTATTTTTCGAGATAAAGATTGTAGATTTGGCGGTCCGCCTGATTGTTAGGGTCCGCGGGAAGGTAATCCTTTGACAACCCGTGTTGATTATCACCAATTTAAATAAGTCGTTCTAAAAAAAAACATCATTTTTCTTCTATTATTCTAAATTCTGGTGTGGCATTTAGGTTAAAAGGTTTTTGATAGCATAGGTCATCGCAATATTGATCATAACACATTTAAAAGAGAAAGCGCGGTTTATCTTTTTGGTAGAATTTAATTGGTATCGGTATATTCAGATGCTAGGTGAATGCGGGGCTCCGTTCTAGGTCCTGAGCGTTTTAATGCATTCGTCCGCGATCTGTCTGGAGCTGTAAAAGGTGAAATTTACCTACCTCTCCATCTGAAAAAATACAATCTTATGTTCTTCTTGAAAAATCACAAACACCATATACAAATTTATTTACAATTTTAAAATTTACATGAAAGTTATAAACTATTTGCGCTAGACTGGAAGTTAACATCTTACAACATTTTAAAAAAGTAAAAAAAAATGGTTTGAAATATTATTGGTGTAAAAATTTCGGTATCCGACGCGTGTAAATTTGCGAAAAGTTTGTGGGAGTGCGTCGCGATAGTTGCATGGGCGGTTAAGTCCTCGGGGTGCGGAAACAAGGTGTAAATAAAATGAAAATTGGTCACGTGGTAAGTGCCTTAATTCGCTTTTGGCTGTTGCCGGTCGGAATTTGCAATTTAATTTATGCAATTACGAGCTGCCCTGTTCTCATCGTGATTATACGGGGCTGCACTTAAACCGTCGGACACTCACCCTGACTGATGATAGTGGCGATGTACACAATACCGATGGCTAGGTACCGGTTGTGCTGTTTCCGCTTCATCACCATCTCATAAGTCACAAACCTGTGTCCGCACCTCAGAAAAATCGCCACTAAAACATGAGCGTAGTTTGGAAGAATTCGCACCCGCGAGAATATAGTGCGTGTCGGCGCGTGAATGCGCGTCGCGAATTAACCGCCGATGGACACAGTCAGACTGCAACTGTGCGGAAACATGCGGAGCGAGAATCTCACGAAGCTCAACTGCGCTGCCGCCTGCCGCTTGCCGCGTGCGTCTGATGCCACATGCTTTTAAGCTCGATCGCTAACTTTCGGCGTCAATCATTGATCTCGCGCTATTTGTATATGACAGTCACCCTCGCTAATAAATCGCATCATCTCAGAACATCGCATGACCTTCCCACACCCAAACGTCGAAGCCACTCTCGCACCTGCACCTCGCACATTTGTCGACTTTCTATTTTACGCCGATGCCGGGCAGAAGAACGACACTCCGCAGAGAGCGGCACTCGCACCGCTACCATTTCTCAAATGCGCTGCACGAAACAATCTCGCACGTTCTTCGCCAACAGCACGAACAGACACATCTAAAGAAAAACACATTCTCTACTATGATGCAAAATTTTATTTCCAAAACGAACGACCGAATTCCGCCCAGACGGTGGAATCTCTTTGGCGCGCGTTTTTCGCGTAAATGGCTCAGTCGGTAGGATTACGTAAAAATAATCGCGCGACCTAGACGTTTAACGACGAACCACAGACGGCAAAAAAACAAAAAATAATCCTCGTTACGTCAGTTAATCCTCGTTGCGTAACTCTCGTATTTAGGCGCGGTGTAATCGCTAACACAGACGTACGAACCGTGTTTATGCATCTGCGAGGAGTTCCCCGACGCGACGTGGTGGTTAGCGGTAAAGCGCGAAGTCGTCTGCGAGCCTAACGTTAAACGCTTGCATCTAATTATCGATGTGGTACCGAGCTAAACGAGCGTTCCGATGGTTGAAACAGTAGAAAAGCAGCGAGAGAAACCCGGGATGGAAGCTCTTGGATTATGCATGTAGCCGCTGCATAAGACATGCTCGAGCTCGAGACGGCAATCCACATATAGTGGCACTAGTGCTGGGCCATCAAACATTCATCCAGGTCACAGCATGTACGACCTATCCATCTTACGTTTTGTCGTCGCCCTCTGTTCTACTATCATGCGAACTAAGGGTAATAGTTCGCAGTTATGCTACATGTACATTTTTACCGAGCGCATTTGTCATTGTGCAATGTCACCGTTAAATAAGATCACTTGAACTACAGCCTCGAACGTCCGGAGTTATTTCTGCCCGTTTCTACCGCACTTGCACTAAAGTCATAAACTGAACCAACCCCTCTCGACCGTTCGCGCCAAGAAAGAGCTATGAATCACGCAAAATGCATATTGCCTTCTGGACACAATCTTTATAAAGTCCTTCCAACGCACAAACACTTCTGCAATAGCCGGCATTACGGACGAATATTGTCTAGGCCAATTCTCGCCGTCTCCTATATATTGAACCTTCGCGCCGATAACCTAACTAATATATTTTTCTAACCGTCGATAACGAATTTTCAGATATAATTTTAAGCGTTCTATTTAACGGCACGATAAACCAACGGTAGTACAAAATGTCCACCTGATGCGACAAACCAGAGTCAACAATTGTAGCAGCACCGAAAGTTATCCTAACCTCAACGGAACGCACAAAAGTGAAAAACAAAGCAAACGAACGAACACGACAATGGCAATAAAACAATCAACGTGGATTAAAAAAACCTATATCAGTACAAAACCAAATCGAAAGTATAAAACAAATAATGGCACCAGACAGTAATTACTATGAAGCTGCTGATGAAAGCACATACACATCATTTGAAAAAAATCTTTAAAAAAACGTGTGCAAACACGCAAAAAATGTTGCAATTCACTCAAAAAGCCTCCCTACTACAACAGGTAAACCAAACGCTATACGTTAATCAAGCAATCAAACCAACCAAATTACCGCCACATACGATGTAAATCCACACGTTACTCGAAAGTTAAGTTCATATTGAAAGTGTGTCAAACTGTATACTGTAAAATATATATTTTTTTAAATTGTCTAAAAATTCTCAAAAAATTCAGGAATATACGTGCTAATTCAAAAAAAATAGCGTTTTATGGTCAAGGAGCAGTATTTCCGAAATATTCGCTGTGAAACTCGAATTATTTTGAAATCTCTAAAAATTGCCATTTACAATGGGCGATTCTGGATAAACGGTTGGCGTTATAAAAAAATGAGGCAGAGAGTGACTTCTGTGGCCCAAAATCTACGAGAAAATGCGTTTTGTTAAATTTCGAAAATGGTCGAAAATGGGTTGAAATTTGCAATTTTGGCACTTTTCCGATTCTCAATTATTATTGGACCAATTTTCAACAAAATTTTCGAAATTTCACTAAATACATTTTCTTGTAGATTTCGGGCCTCAGAAGTTATATCCGCTTTCATTTCTTCGATTTCTCCAATGATTCTTCCAGAATCGTCCTTCGAAATTACAAAAATGTACAAAATACCACCAATTAATGGACCAATTTATACAAAATTTTCGAAATTTCATTAAATACATTTTCTTGTAGATTTCGGGCTCCAGAAGTCATATCCGCTTTCATTTCTTCGATATCTCCAATGGTTCTTCCAAAGTCGTCCTTCGAAATATACAAAAATGTACAAAATACCACCAATTATTTTTTATTTTTTAAAAATATCGAGAAAATAGATGTTTATTTTTTTAATTTTCGATTTTTGATTTTTCAGTGGTTGCCATGTTTAACGTAACTTTAAAGCATCTGAAAATTTTGTTTCTAATTTTCAATTTTTGGATTTTTCGATTTTTCAAATTTACGGTTCATGAATAAATTTTTTCTTTTGGTTAAAAAATCCAAAAATGACAAATCGTGAAAAGGAAAAATTTGGAAAAATTAAAAATCAAAAAATTTCAAAATTGTAAAGTTAAAACTTGAAAAATTAAGATTGGAATTAAAAACTGCTAAATTGTCAAACAACTTATCAATGAAATATTCAAAAGTTGGAAAATCTAAAAACTAAAAAAAAAATTAAAACTGGAATTTCGAATTCGATTTTATAAGATTTTTTTTTTTCAATTTTTCGATATCTTAGTTTTTGATTCTCCGATTAAACAGTTGTACAATTTTCCGATTTCTCATTTATCCAATTTTTCAATTTGTCATTTTTTGATTCTTTGGTTTTTCTATTTTTAGCAAGTACTAGCCCCGTCCACCCTTCCTTATTTTCTTAGAAGAATAAGTCATCTGCCAAAATCATTCTCACCTTGACAAGTACTAGCCCTGCCCACCCACCCTTTATTTTCTTAAAAGAGTGGGTCATCTGCCAAAATCAGTCTTATCTTGACAAGTACTAGCAACGTGTTAGATGTTAAAATTTCAGTTTTAAATAACTTGTCTAAAAATTCTCAAAAAATTCCCAAAAAATTCAGGAATATAGATCTCGACGTGCTGATTCCAAAAATATAGCATGTTAATGGTCACGGAGCAACATTTTTTAGAGATTCAGTATTAAATGCGAATTTTTGAAAATTTCTAAAAATTGCATTCAACGGCCGATTTTCAAAAACGGTTGGAGTTATGCAAAAAACGAGGCCGGAATTAACTTTTGCGGCCCGAAATCTACAATAAAATGCAGTTAGTTAAATTTCGAAAATGATCGAAAATGGTGCGACGAAATTCCGGTAACGGACGGACGGTCTGGAATCTCGCCGATAACGTGGTGGCGGCGTACCTGAGTGCCAAGCCTTGGGTCGACTAGTGCCGGTGATATAACAAACAGGTCTGGCCGACCTAGGGTTATCCGGCGACCTTCACGCCGCCGGGGGTGGCGCCTTCGGTCAGGAACAGCGGTCGTTCGGGTGCCAGCTCCCCCTCCGGGAGAGGGAGCATCGGGGTTGCTTTCAAGCCGGAGACACGAATTTCAGGTGGTGAGCGCCCACGAAAACACCAAAATAAAATAAAACGGCAAGGAGTATTTTACAATAGAGCGAATTTATGCCCTGCCACCAGCTACACGGCCAAAATTATAAAACTTACGGCTAAATTTGAATAAAATAAATACAAAACGGTTTTACAAACAAAATTAAATTAAATGTCCGGCACGGTCGGCGAGTTCCTTCAGGACGGGCTCCTCCTGGATTTGGGGGCGGCGACCTTGAAGCTGGAAATCGCGCGAAGACGGTATGGTGACCTGGGAGGGAAGCGCGGTGGCGGTACACGACGGTTTCAACTTGTGACGGGAACGACTAAAAAAACCGCTGACGGTAGTACGATTTTTTGCTTGGGGGCGGCGATTCAAAAACCGGGCAGACGACCCAAAAAGGTACTTACGGGGGTCAAACTGCACACTTCTCAAAACTTAAACTTCTTTCACCACACCACTTCTTGTTGCTCTGAAGCCTGAAGACCGAATCCTCTTCCGCCGCGGCGACGCTGCAATCGCAGATTTAACCCGACTCTCGCGGTACGCGCCCCGGTTTCCGGTCCGCGAAAATTCGCTTTGTTACAATAGGTCGAAATTTGCATATATATGGAGTTAAAATTTCATTTTTGAATAAGTTGTCTAAAAGTTCTCCAAAAAATTAGGGATGTAGATCTCGACGTGCTGAATCCAAAAATATAGCGTATTTATGGTCAAGGAGCACCATTTTCAAAAGATTCAGTATGAAATAAGAATTTTTGAAAATCTCTAAAAATTGCGAAATTTCAACGGCCGATTCTGGAAAAACGGTGGGAGTTATAAAAAAAACGAGGCCGGAATAAACTTCTGCGGTCCGAAACCTACAACAAAATGCATTTAGTTAAATTTCGAAAATGATCAAATCTGGGTCGAAATTTTGCATAATACATGGTGTTAAAATTTCATTTTTGAATAAGTTGTCTAAAAGTTCTCAGAATATTCTCGAAAAAATCAGGGATATAGCTCTCGACGTGCTGAATCCAAAAATATACGGTGTTTATGGTCAAGAAGCAACATTTTCAAAAGATTCACTACGAAATGAGAATTTTTGAAAATTTCTAAAAATTGCCATTTTTCAACGGCCGATTCTGGAAAAAGGTGGGAGTTATGGATAAAACGAGGCCGGAATAAACTTCTGCTGCCCAAAATCTACAAGAAGATGCATTTAGTTAAATTTTGAAAATGGTAGAA